ATGAGTATCAAAGCCACATTGTCAATTCTCTTTGTTTCCTGGGATATAAAATTAGAGAAACCCTTTAAGTCACCGACAGAGAAAAGTGAACTCTCTTCAGCTCTGAGATAATGGTAAGTTTTCCTTTCCAAAATTCAGGCCCTTCCATGACATACACAAGATCCACCAAATGAAAAACAAGACTCCAGACAAAATATGCTTATTATTAAAGCTAGCATAGTATACTAGAGGCCAGAGTTGACAGCCTCACTAAATTTCCCTTCAGTAATATAATTTCATATGCAGCAAAGGCCAGAGAATGGCATACCTTACCAGCATCAGGGGCTAAAAGAGCACTTACAAGTTACTACCATGTCTTTGTTAAGACATAAGTCCCCAAGAAGAGAAATGACCTGTCAGAGACCCTGGAACCAGAGATCTAATTACTGATAGATAAATGAATAGATAGATAGATCAACGACAGACAAAATGACCTCATTGAGTTTTCAAGATGAATAGCAACCATAATAAATAGAATTAAGAATCATCTGATAAAAGAGTTTAATTTCAGGCTTACTTTCTACAATGCCTGAGCATTGTGTTAGCCTTTGTGGTATAAGAAGAAAATATTTAAGTACCAAACAGTGATTCATTAAAAAAAGTATGGTTGCAGTTGAAAAATCCTCCTGCTTTAGGCATAAAAAGCACAAAGCAAAGTACAGGAGTAGTCACTAAACATCAGGAACACAAGGTTTGAAAATAAATGTTAGCTAGACATTCAAGTTTCTACTCATGACTCCAACAGATTTTACTTAGGGAATAGATGGTATAAAGACTATTTATTTATGGTCAGAGTTCTCAAAGAAGCCTCAAGAATTTAGTCAAATTATTGGATTTACTTGGATTTGAGGTTAAGCAGTGCATGAAATAAAATTATTTTTGCTCACATTGATTTATGAGATGGGTAGAAGCTCATTTCAATAAGTAATTAGTAAAAATATTTCTATTTATCCCTTTCACCCACCCATATTGAGAAACATCTTTAATACTTTTTTGTTAACTCTGAACTCCTATTATCATGACAAGATAATTATTGAAAATTAACTTAAAACTATTAGTTAAAAGGCAAAAGCTGTTTCAAAACACTGAGACTTCTTAGTTAATTTTTTTTAACCCTGAGATAGAAATGTTCAGGATCAAGTAAACTAAACCACAAATAATGCACAGTTTTTCCATTAATTGAACCCAACCAAGCCCAAATCTCCACAATCAAAAAAATTAATTCAACATTTCACTTTTCAGTAAATAAAGATAATAAAGGCAAAACGTATTCATGTTGAAGCTTAAAAACATTTAGAAACACATTCAACTTGAAATATCCTGTTGACTATCCCATACCTATATGAAATAATCAATAATTGCATATTCCATCATGCTCATTACAAGGTGCCTTCAAATATCTACACTTTGTGTCTTGCCAATAACTTTTTGAGATAGTTATGTCAGTTATCATCTCATCAACATTTTGCAGATAAAGGAATGGAGCTTTAGAGGATTTTATAATGTTGCCAAGTTGTAAGTAGCACACTTCCTACTGACTACAAGTCTTGTGTCATTTCCATGTTTATCATACTGTACTTACTAAGACAAGGCACACACACACACACACACACACACACACGCATACTTGAATTAAGAACTCTCGGATTATTTCTGAGTTGGATTTTATGGAACACTGTACTTTATGGTAAAATGGAATCTATATGAAGCAAACCCCAGGTTCGTAAGTAAGGCATGTGCTATCATTGTTACCCTGGTTGTTCTGGGCATCTTTGGGCTGCTGGACATGTACTAGGTACAAGTGGCCTTTTCTCCTTTCTCAAAGAACATCTAGTTCTTGGTTACTGTGAGGATGTTTTTTAGCACATTCTAAAACAGCATTGTCCAATAGAACTTTCTGCAATGATGGAAAATTTCTATATCTGCACTATCCAAAAAAGTAGCCATTAACCACATATGGTTATTGAGCATTCAAAATATGGCTAGTGTGACTGAGGTACTTGTATTTTAAAGTTTTAAACTAATTAAATATAAATTTAAATAGCTACATGAGACTAATGATTAGCGGTCAGAGGATATCTAGACAGTTAAGATTCTGGTCCTTGGGACTCAGAGTACCATAGCAATAGAATCCTTGCAGGATCACCAAGTGAGGGTATAATGGAAGCTATGTATTTAATTTTTGCACTTTGCCTTAATTGGTTCTAGAGGGGGTTGGAAGCAGAATGCTGCCATGAGCAATAAGAAAGCATATGTGAATCTTTAAGGAATAACAAATGGAAGAGAATGTGTTGTGGTAAATATTAAGAGATGAAAGAGCTAAACACTGTCATTTGAATTGAATTTTAATTTCTAAACATTATGTATTGGAACAGGACAGAACTATCAATTCAATATAAAAATATCCTCCTTGCCAATGCAATTGCAGTGCAATTACTGAGGCCACAGAATTCCAATTAATGAAGATGGAATTTAAGTATGAGCTGGAAAGAAAAGCAAGAAGAAGAAATGAACAGAACATTAGGTTCTGCTATATGTTAGAATGAATTTTATCTCTAATGAAGCTACTTACTTGAAAGAACTGTGAATATTCAATGAAATGACTGATGAAGGGACTTAGCATAGAACCCAGCAAGTAGTAAGCAAGTGGTTAAAAAAAAAAAATATATATATATATATATATATACCATTATACGTACTAATATATATATTAGTATCATATATAATTATATATTAGTATCATATATAATTATATATATATTATATATATATATATATATATATATATATATTAGTACTTATAATGGTCTTTGTTTCTCTCTAGATTTTTGTAGAGCCTCTTTCAAATTCCCATGACAGCTTAGGAAGCTGCTTACAGTAATCAATTTGGGGAAAATTATTTTTGGGGGAGGAATAGGTCAATAGAAGGTGTACAGACAACATAAGGGCAAGCTGAGAAATACCACAGCACAATTCCTATTTGTGAATTGCTACTGTAGGGAAACTGTTACTGAGGAAGGTTGATGATATCTCTCAGGTATGTTGAGACCAACAACACTGTAATAGTATAACTAAGCAAAGTGCAGGAAAAAATAGTAGCTAAAAGGTTTGCTCTTAATTTAGTGTTTTGGCATTTTGCTGATATTCTTGTCAAAATTTGTGGAAAAGGAAGCATGCAAGAGTAGTAGGAAGGGCCATGGAATCAAGTTAACCAGGTTCTAATCCTAACTTTTCAATCATGTGACTTAGACTGATGACCATCTTTGGGTTCCCAAGTTCTCCTGTGAGACAGTGGTGCTGAATGGATCTTTAAGGTTATTCCAGCCCTAAACTCAATAGTGTAACTCAAAATATGATAGCCTATATCGATTCTGGCTTTCCAACCTTTCTGCAATTCCATTGCTGTTTCAGAAAAGTCTGCTCATTTATTTCTCTAACCTGTTTCTGTAAATGCAGAGCTCAAGTTGTGTGAACAGTGGCATCTCTAGCAGCGTGCATAAAAGCAGTTGGGAGGGTGGGAGTGAGTGACAGTGGGTGGGTGAGCAGATTAAAGAGGAGATGGCTGGGAGAGAGAGTAGTAGGTATAAAAGAGAAAAGCAGGTCTCCCCCTTTATTATTCTTTTGCTATATTCCCCTATTACAGCTATTCAAAGCGAAACATCAAATCAAGTGCATGAAAATGGCTTGGACATTGGAGGTGAGCAGAACTGAATTTGAGTTCAACTTCTTGATTCAATATTTCTAACTTCAGTTTCCTTATCTGTGTGATACTAATGGTTAGCTGCTGCTGTGAAGTTCAAATGTGATAGTGGATAATGAGTGTTCTGTAAATATTCTCTTAACTTGGCCTCCCCAAACTGGCTCACTCCCTTTTCCATCTTACTCACAATAAAGAAATGGACACACAAGGCTGCTTAAATATCTGTATCTAGAGGATGTAAACAGTGTGTACTGGAGAGAGAACTGTGCAGAGGAGGGAAAAAGTCATAATCTGAAACAGAAATGCCAGTCTCCCTGTTAATGAAGCCTCTTTCTCTCTCTGGTTCCCGAGCCACAGAAATGTTTATTACAACAGCATCCCTAACTGTGTTGTCAACACTTTACAGACAGGAAGACACACTGCACAGGAAGAGAAAATAGGATGAGGCAACACCTGAAGTTTCAAGCTGTATCCTGGAGTGATATGGGCTTTTTGGCTCTTCCATCCATAAGTGCCAGCGAACCTCTCAAGTGGATTCCGGGGTGGGGGTGGAGGCAGAGAACCGGGAAGTCAGAGTACCTTTACAGTTTTCTAGGTAAACACCAGATCCTCTTTATGTGATTCAACGCTTGCAGGGAACGCTGGCCTCCAGTGAGCCACCAGCTCCTGGGGGCATTAGCTCCCAGCTTCTGACAACTTTCAGCACCGTGGACAGCGCTCACTCCTTGGTCAGACCAGAGGCCAGGGCTCACCCGAGCTCTCCCTGGCCCCTCACCGCGGGGGGATAGGCGGGTTATCCGGCGACCCTTGGCTAATTCCAGCCAATGACTACCTTCTCCACTTAGGCGAGAACATTTAGAAGGATGAGGAGTGCCAGAAACAGGCAGCAGCCCTGCTCCAGCCTTCTCGCATCTTTTCTCTGCCTTGCCTTTGCGCCTAGTCTTTTGACAGCTTGTATCTTTACCCTTCAATCACAGTATAAAATACACATGGGGGTGTTCAGGAGAGAAGGAGGTTCGGGGCCACGCTGCCCTACCCCAGCCCTCTGGATTCGTGGGAAACTGATGTGCTTTGGGGGTGGGGGAGAGAAGGGACTGAAGGGGTGAAGTAGTGCCTGCTAGAGTCATCTCCCCAGGCTGCCCTCTCTGGGCAGGAAGCTTCCCTGGACACTTCTCCCGTCACGTCCTCCTCCCAGCCCCCGGCGTATCACCATTCGCCAGGGACGGATGCCCCTCGTGGCTCACCAGCCTAGTTGGGGCGCCGGGGCTCAGCTGGAGTCCCTTTGAAGAGTTTGCTCTCAGGTAAAGGGCAGACGTTGCCCCCGCCCTCCTCTCCCGCTGAGGCTGGGAAAGAGTCTCTTCCTTTCCTTGGGCTCAGTCTGAGGCCGAGAACCGAGCTGCCCGAGCCTGATGCGTGCCCAGACTGGGAGGAAAGGACGGGCCCGGCGTCTGCCAACACCGGGCGGCCCAGACCCAGCTCCAGCTCCAGCTCCCTCCTGGGCTTCTCGCTCCCGCGCCGCGCGGGGACTGTGCTTGCCCCCGCCCCGCCTGGTAGCTCTAGCGAGTCCGGAGCCCCGCCGGACCCCTTTCGCTGCCAGAGGCGGAGAGACCCTGACCTCAGCTCCTGCCTTATTTCAGGGAGCCCCTTCCCAGAGTGCGCCCTCAGCCTCCGCGCCATGTTCCTGCTTCCCCCACTCCTAGTGGCTCCGGTTCCCTGTTCATCCCAGTCGCGGGGTACAGATGAGTCGGGGTGTCGCGGAGGGGGACAGACTGTGGCGAAGGGGAACGTTCACTCACCAGAGAGGCTGGAGGCGATGGACTGCCTGCTGGGGCTGGTGGCTGAAGGTCCGCACTTAAGGCGCGGGCTGTCTCTCCGGCTGTGATGGGGGGTGATGGTGGCGGCAAAGGAAGGCAAGAGTCAGCCGCTGCTGTTGAACAGCTCCTCAATTATTCAGATGGAACCCCCTCCAGCAACCTCCCCATTCCTGCCAGTCCTCTCTCCAGCTCGCCTGTCTCCGCCTCCTTGGAGTCACGTGGCTAGCCCAACCCCTTACATTATTGAGTCCAAGCCTCACACCAGACCCCTCTCCCCTCTGCTCCGTTCTGCCTGGCACTTAGAACTCCTCGCTGGCCTTCTGAGCTTCAAGGTGAGGCCTCCAGTCTCTCAGGCTGCAGGGTGGCTGAGGGGGCCTGGAATGGGGACAGTTCTCTGTCCTGGGAAAGCAGGCCCGGCAAGACTCTGCAGTGTTGGTGTGTTAGGAAGGCATCTACCACTTCTCTGTCTCTGCTACCTCTGGGACTCAGCTACCCAGGCCTGTTGCCTGCCCTCTAGAAGCTTCCTGCTTCCTGCCTGGAGCCCTCCTTGGTCTTAAACTTCTTCCACTCTCCTCAACCCTATAGAAAGAAAGGACCTGGAAGCTGATTCCCTCACTATTCATAAAGAAGGCAAGATCCAAAGCTCAAGTGGGCAAGTAGGCCAAGTTTATCTTGGGGTTCACAACATCTTGTGTGTGCAAAGACCACTAGAAATTTCAGTCTTTTTTTTTTTTTTTTTTTGTAATAGAAATTGAACCCAGGGGTGCTTAATCACTGAGCCACACCTCAAGACATTTTTTATTTTTAATTTTGAGACAAGGTCTTTCTAACTTTCTGAGTTTGTCTTTGAACTTGTCATCCTTCTGTCTCAGCCTCCCAAGCCACTGGGCATATGGGCATGCACCACTGAGCTGGCTAGAAATTTCAGTCTTTATGACTTTGGAGTTTTTTCAGTTTCTTTCTTCTCTCATCTGTGAAATGACCAACACAGTAGTGTCATGAGAATTAGAAATCATCATGTTCTTAAAATTGCCTAGCCCAGGCTTGACACATATTTGGAGGTTAGTAAATGAAAGTCCATCTTCCCTTGTCAGTGTTTTGATAAATTTCAGAAAACAAGGGGAAGCTTATGCATACCAGTAGAATAGAGGTATCTTTTTTTAAACATAGAAGGAAGCTTCCATGAGGTCAGGTTAGACATAACTGGTCTAAGTGGGGAGAGCAGAAACACAAGCTTGTATTTTACATTGATTCCTTAAGATGGGTGTCCTAGAGGCATGTTGTGTCTCAAAAATATGGGAACTGGACAGTACCAATCCAAGTATGTTTGGCCTTATCAATGAATGAATCATTTAACATGCACTGAGTAGATTGATWTGGATGGAAGATATCTCCATGAATTCTTGCACCTTTATCCAAGCACTCAAAATACATGGGGACTAATAAAATGTAACTCCCTGGACTTTAAAAATAAATTCACTGAGCTTGTGTTTGAGGAGTACACTGGCTGTCTGATATTCTCTTACTACAGTAGAACAATTCAAATCTAACTTTTGATTTTGGATCTGTGTTGGACCCCAGTGCTCCTGACTTCTGCTCAGAAAGATGGCTGATCATGACTAGGACAGCCTTGATAAGTCTACATAGCTCATGATCATTACTGCCTTGAGCCAGAATTTAGGCCTAAATATCCATGATTTAACTTCTGAATAGACATATAGAGTGCATCAGAGCTCTTGAGATCCCCCAAGAACTTGCAGAATATTGAAGAAAAAGAGTAAAGTTAAAGAATCAGAAGTTTGGAATGTTAATGCAGACTCTGCCAGTTACTTATATAATCCTTGACAAATCATTTCTACTCTCTGAGTCTTACCTTTTAATTGGGAAATTAAATTTTAGTGGGAAAWGAATGTCTATTTTCTCTATAAGATAGTTAGGGTGTTCAGATGGGATAATGCATGAGAAGCCACTGTGAAACATAATGAGTAAACAAATAGGAGCTATTAGTACATAGGTTGAGGAAAACTCTTGAGTCTGCTTTAGTCCAAGTGCATTATAGGGGTGAGAAATTGGAAATAGATTTGTTAAAGAACAGGCAGTGCTAAAAAGTCAGTGTCTCTGTAAGTTTGCTAGTGTGCCTGCAACTTAAGGGCTGTGGTATTTTGAGTACTTCATTCTTTCAGTTTCACACTCCTTTTTGATGGATTTCTGAATTAAATCTTCATTCTCACCCCTTGGCTTTTCATCTTTCAAATACCATCCATATACTATCTAAGATAATTTTGTGCTTTTTTTTAAAACAGCAGGGTTTAGATTTTTCTGCCTCTGCTAGGTAAATTTGATTTGGGTTGGTAATTCAAAATGGATTTGATTTCAAAGACAAAAATATTCAGATTCCAGGAGGAATTTCTGGATACTCAGCGGCAGCCTGAATGGTGATATGAGTTTCCAGTTCGCTGCCAATGAAATCCTTACCCAAATCAGGAATTCATGGAATTCCCTGAATTTTAAGCAGATTCCAATCTCATGTCCTGGTACACTTCCATTAAATATTCTTTAGAAATTATCAATGTAGACCTCTCTATATTTAGGGAGACCATAAAATCAGAAAGTGTCAACCATACTTATATACGTATCATTTTTWWAAAAATTGTTCAAACTAGGTAAAATGTTGCATCTGATTCTTATCTGCCTCTGAGTTGTAAYCAGGAAGTGTGAAAAAAGGGAAGAATAAGCATGAAAGCATTTAATTTGGCTTCAAAAATGGTGCCTTTATGAGCAGTTACTTAGATGAGCATACATTTTAGAAAAATTTGGACAGTCTCTCTATAAATTGTTTTAAAACTCTGAATAATCTTTTCAAACCAGTTTTAAATGCCCAAGTTAACTTTACTCAGCAAATGGCAGAAAGGGGAGATTAGGGGACAGATCTTGCATAGATTGCAATACCAAGTTACACCTTAACAAGATTTCTTGATAAGGATTCCCTTGAGTCCTTCTCCCTTACTTACAAACTCTTACCTTTTGCTGGTGACTCTTAGCTTTATCATAGACCACTGAAAACACTTCCCAGCTATAGGTCGAGCATTAACTAACCAATAAATTAGAATGCAATAGACATAAATGCAGTTAAGCATTTGGAGCCTTATACATCGGCACATATCTCAATTCTAAAGTTAAACCATGATGCTACAGAATGATGACTAATTAAATCTTAAAAGGACACACCCTAGTTTTCTTGTTCCAACAAGTGGAATAGGGATATGTTGGTTCATTTATTTCTAGATGCTCAGGATATAGCCATGAACAATACAGAAAAGATTCTCCTTGGGAACTTCCTCCCTCTTCTAAGGGAGGAAGTCAGATCATAAACAAGTAAATAAGGCAGTAGAGATAAGGACTATGATGAAAATAATACAGCAATAGAATAAGGAGGAAAGGGCACCACTCTAGTTAAGTGGTGGACATTAATAAATGTGGGGCCTGGATACAAAAGCTATTATGCTCCAGGRAAAGAGTTGGGCCCTCTTACCCAGGGCCTTCATCCAAAACAGTTCATATCAGGCAATCACTAAAATCTCTTGATTGACCTCCTTGGATGGATGGTGGTTAGGCTACAAGGGGACTGATCAGATGCCTTGAAAACAATTATGTATTTTTGTCTCATGATTTATGATGACTACCCAYTGGTTTCTTCTAGAACTCTAAGCTCATCAATGCACCTGATTATTTTCTGAGCAGATTCAAAAGTTCAGAAATGAGWGACACTGCAACAGCCTGGTTGGAGAAAGGCTGGTCTGGAGCCCTCCAAAGGAGTTGTATTTTGGGGTAGCAGGAGGTCAGAATAGAAGACACACAACCAGAACCCGGAATATTGTAGGCAAACCTTGAAGATATGTTAACCCGCTGCTAGTATCCTACCGACTGGACTGGAAACACTTATCTACAAGAAAATTTTCTTCTGGGTATCTAAATTCCAAGAGAAAGAAGGATAGTGCTGGCCTGAGCATGTTTATTTCATTCTCAAATTTGCAAATAAGACATGACACTCTCCCACCTTCACCCCATGCAGAGTAAATAAATGTGTTTAATGAATGATGTGTGGAGAGAGGTCAGGGTCTGCTAAGTTGTTCAGATCAGCCTTAAACTTACAATCCTCCTGTCTCAGTTTTTCAAGTGGCTGTGGTTACAGGTGGGTGCCACTGTTCCAAGCATTATTATGTGTTTCCTTTAAATACATCCATATTTCTCAATTAATTTGTTTTATAGAGATTTCTATCACTATTTTAAATAGGAAACTGGGATCAGTTGCAGTAAATGCAGGGCAACCATTTAAACACAATGAAAATAAAAACAATGCTATGATAACCAAGCCAAATATGTTTGCCTTTCCAGGAACTCAAGGCTTGCTTTCTCCTTAAGAGAGAAATCATCAGCTGTTTGTGAGGTGTTAAAGACATAGTGGCATCAAACTGAGACTTTCTCCATCTCATTATTTCTCTAGCTTTAATATGCATAGGAATCCTCTGAGGGATCTTGTTAAAAATGTACAATTAGATTCAGTTAGTCTGGGGTGGGAGCCAAGAGCCTGCATGATCTCAGTGATGCTGGTGCTACTGGTTCTTGGACCACTTTTTGACTAACAACCATCTAAAGTACCAGTCWTGGTAAGTGCCCCACATTCTGAGAAATGTTAATTGTAGTTTATAGATGAGGAAATGAGGACTTGCAGGGCATAACTAACCTAAAGTTCTAGAGTTGGTTGATAGACAAGACAGGGCTGAAATTCATATTTCATAGATCTCCTTCCTTACAATCCAGTGCTCTTTCCCAAACAACTTTAAGGTCATGACTTTCTTATTGAGTGGGAACTCTGAATATGAAAGTCAAGGTTTYGAATGCTGCATTCTATAGGTTATTTCATGATAATGAACACACCCAAACTCTCAGCATCTTAGAATGCATTTCTTGATCACTTTGTGCATCTACTGTGGGTCACTGTACATTCTGCTACATGGACTCACTCCAAGATTGTGATTTTATGATGCCCTGTCTCCTTATGACACTCTGGAGTTCACCTTGGTGAGCAAGGCTAGAGGACCTTGCACTGGAAACTAAATGCTCTGTTCTGGAAGTG